AAAAGGTCATAAACTTGTTGTTAAAGCAATTCAGATTCACACACACACACACACACACACACACACACACACACACATATCTGTGTGTGTGTTTGGGCAGTAATCCCTCTTTTATACAAGTTTAATTAAAGATGACTTACAAGGTACTTCGTTTAACTTATGTAATTTTTCTTGGGGTCGTATAAGTTTTTTTTTCTTTTCTAGACATAAATTGTGCAAAATTGTCCGAATGTTTCAGCTATTCTTTTAGGCATTATCAGGACTTGATAATAGATAAAACCGAAAGCGCTCGGACATTCAAATCTTTAGGACAATTTTTACACAGTGTATGTACAGAAAAGAAAAAAATCTTATATGAACACAAGAAAAATTAAATAAAAAGCTTAAACACAATACCTTGCCAATTATCTTTAATGAAACTTGTATGTATGTATATATATTATGAAATGGCTTAAGTCCGACAATTATTTTAATATATTTTCTATTTTATACGTTATTTTTATATATACAAATATTTAAGTAAATGCTCTGTTTATAATAAACAATATTAACTACATTTACTGGCCTGGATGTCCGAGAAAATTCATAGAAAATATGTGGCCTTCGACGGGAATCGAACCTGTATCCTATAAGGAACCGTCATATAACGTGGCGTGCGTGCTATACCATTTGGGAAATTTGTTGTTTCCTCTGTAAGCTAAACTTTTATATATATATATATATATATATATATATATATATATATATATATATATATATATATATATATATATATATATATATATATATATATATATATATATATATATATATATATATATATATATATATATATATATATATATATATATATAAAAGTATTCGTAAAAGTTTGACTAAAACAGCGGACAAGGTTTGTTCATTTAATTTTTATTTAAGGCGTTGACTATTAAGGATCGAAATTGTTGTTATACTGTTTGAAGTCCATGGTGTGTTGTTATTTTTGGTTCTAAAGTTCTTTAGACAGTCTCAGTGATTTTCAAAGACAAATGTGGTGCCTATCAAATTAGGCAAAATTATTTTATCTACGTCCTGATATTCTTTGGAAACCTGAAAATTTGAAATAGCCTACGGTGACGTCATATGTAAGGTTATTGGGAACGAGGCTGCACTATTTCAAACATTCAGCTTTATATCCATGAAACTTAAATACAAGCGAAACATGTTAAATCTGTAAACGTTTCCTATTTATTTCTTATTCAATAATTTTGTCGGATTTAATCCATATTTGATTCCAGATATAAAAATATAATTTCAGTATATACATAAAATAAATATTTTATCAGCATTATGGTATTGTTTTTTTTATACAACTACGTATGACTCTCTCTCTCTCTCTCTATATATATATATATATATATATATGAATGTTTATTCTGTGTTGTTACTGTTATCTTAGAAAGAAATAGTCTGATTTGGTGATCGATGAGGTAGTTCGTTAAACCGTTGTGAACTTGTATCTCTTTCACGTTGCTTAGTTATTCAAGGGGACGAGAAGATGAATTCTTGTAGCTTCTCTTGAGGAATTTTTTTTTATAACGCCTATTTTATATCTATGTGGACATTCACTCATAAAATTAAGGGGGTAAGAGTTTCTACTAGAGTTTTTTTTGTATAACGAACTAGTGAATGTGTTACTTCTGGATTCTACAAGAACGCCTAAGAATGGGTTCATGGGTAAAATTAAGGATCATCAAATTAGACTATTTCTGTCTAAGGTAAACAATAGGAACACTGTATATACAGATAAAAACAATAATATTAACAATAAAGTCAAATACATATTAAATATAAAAAGATGAATTTTCTCTTAAAAACATTATAAAGAAATACACAGTCCCAGTCGATCAGAACAAAAAAAAAAAAAAAATTAAATTAATTATCTTCTATAAAAGAATTAAGCAGCTAAGTATAATGAAAGCACTAAAAATGATAAAAAAGAAAAAGTCAACACTCAGTAACATCAACTAGGAACACGGACACAATGTGTTGACGGTGTTTGAAAAACAAACCACCATTCCATTTCTCTAGAAACATATTAAAAAACCTACACGTTCAGTTCAAAAGACAAGTAATATGTATATTTGGGCAGCAACCTTTCTTTCAGAGATGTTTTATTGAAAGTGACAAACAAGAAAAATTCGATGTGTTTTTATTGAGTCTTTCTATTATTCTTAAATTTTTCCGTTTGGTGGTGGGTAAGGCTGAAAGCACTTGCAACATTAAACACTACGGACAATTTTTACACTTAATTACCCCCACCAAACGGAAAAATTTAAGAATACTAGAAAAACTATAAAAAACGCATAATTTTTTTTTGTGACTGATACATTTAATGAATATATATATATATGGTGAACCCTCCCGTCGTATTCGACGTATGAGGATCAAGCAGCTCAGTTCCTAGGAACCGACAGCCGGATACCAGCACGTATGATTTGATTATAGTGGTGAAGGCTTTGTGCAGAACCAACCAAACTTTTTTTACGTGCCACAAGGTCCCCAAACGACCATCCGCAGGTTTTGAATTCAGAGTTGTCCTTCTCCTAGACCAGTTGCCATCCAAGGCTATGGAACCTAGTCTGTCTTGCGATTTACCCATAGCTGGAGGGTGAAGGAGGGGATTAATATCTTTCTCAAGGGTTATTAGCACGTAAGTGAATGTAATGGATTCAAATGGAATTCAAACTTGGCTCTCCGAGTCCTCAATCCGAGCTGCTATCCATTATTCCACCATGTCTCCCTATATATATATATATATATATATATATATATATATATATACACAAAGTGAGATCTGAGGGAATATATATAAGTTACACACACACACGCGCGCACACATATAAATATATACGTATGCAGTCATATTTATATGTGTAAAGTGTCTCCTGTTTGTCATTATTTACTACGGATATAGTAATTAGGGGTACTTAACTTCAGTTGTGTTGGCATGTAATTTCGAAGGGAGCTGATTGTCATTCTACTACCTTTACTTATATGGCTGTTATTCAGCCCATCCACCAAAAGTAAAAATAAATAAAGAAAAAGAAGGACATGATGGATATGGTTGGCAATAGAACAAAGGCCACAAATGTTTGACTTCGTATCTTTCATAAAAATAAATTAATGCATGGATAACAAAAATAACTGAAATATGCAAAAACAATTGCTTGGTCTCTGTTCATGATTTCAGTTTTTGTATTCTTATCCACACTGGCTTATTCTTTCTTTCTTTTTCTTTCTTTCTTTCTTTCTTTCTTTCTTTCTTTCTTTCTTTCTTCTAAAATGAAATCATACAACTAGAACCTGGGTTCGTTACGTTCACTTACACGAAAATACCCTTGAAAATGTTTGAATTCTTCTCTTCCCCCAGTTATGGGTTAAACAGTAGGACTTATATCTTGAAAAAAATCATTGTTATTCTCAAAAACATATTAATATTTTCTCACACAAAAAGATATCAAACAGAATCAGCTTTAAATAATCCATAACGGGTTGATAAGACGTAAAAACAAATCAATAAATCAATTACATCTTTAAACCATTGGTTCCCATTAAAATTTTTATTTATTAATTTCAGTTCCCTTGTAAAAAAAAATGTCGCATCTGCTCTTGTACGTATATGAAAATATTCAAATTGCTGAACCGCAAATAATAATTAAATACCTACTAGACTTTTTGTTACAAATGTTGTTGATATCGTGGGGTTTAGATTTTTTTTAAACTCTTTTATTGCGTGAACTTTATTGTCATAAATGTCAGACGTCCATTTTATTCGAGCAGAAAAAAATGGAAAACATCAGATCAGAATTTGATTATTACGTTGAGTCATAAGTAATTTCCTTTTTTGGCAACCGACGTGATGACTAATCATGGCAGTTAACAAATCAGGTGCGCGTTATTCATGTGATATTATTCGACATAAAAGACAGTAGATCAACAGAGATAAAACTCCACAACTGACCCCAAAAGCTGATCCCCGTGGAAGAAAGGTAATGTTGTACACATGGTGGCATCGTTAGGGTATTATTCATTTCTTCTTTATGTGCCATGTATCTACAGGACGTAGGCGATCATGATTTTCCACAACTTTCTTTCTATTGTAGCTCTTAATAAACTTGTTTTTTTCTTACTTCTCCTAAACCATGTTCTGCCATCCATTTATTCAGGCCCACTAAGTTGTTTTCCTCTGCACCTCTTGTCCTCTATCTGCTCCGTGAGTATCAGATTTTCCAAACTCTCCTTATTATATGCCCCAGAAACTTTCTCTTCCTTGTGTTAAGTTTTACTTTCTTTTTTGTTTCTATTTTCTACCAAAGTTCGTCTTAGCTCACATGTTCGGTCCACGGTATCCCCAGTATTCTTCTGTAGAACCAAATTTCTGTTGCTTCAAGTCTCCTCTTCTTCAAAAGGAGGTCGTCCTGCACTCACTGCCATACAGGAAGACAGATACCTCATAGCAGTTTGGTACGCTTTTCGTCCTCTGCTAAAACACTTCCCAGACATTTAAATTTCTGCACTTGTTTCATTTTGGTACCCTCGATTTGCAATTCACACTTTGGGTTCATCATTTTGCTAACAACCATATCGTCTGTCTTCTTGCAGTTGATGTTTAATCGTTTCTTTTCACTTTATCTCACTACTTTCTATCGGAGCTTTTGTACCTTTCTTTCTGTGTTTGCTATCCCACACGGTGTCATCTAAATACCTTATTTTGTTAAGATTGTGGTCGCCAATAATGAATCCAGATAGAACTTAGTTATTAAGCAATAAAACTACCAATGCACGTTTATACGTCCAGAAGCTGTAACGTGTCCGGAATGGTTTGGATGAAAAGCGCCCTGTACTCGTCAAGAGGAAATATTTTGTTTTCATCCATGACAATGCAAGGCTGCCCTCTGAAAGAATAACACAAAGGAAACCGTTGGAAATGGGTTTGTCTGTTCTAGGGCAGTATCATTTTGAAACACCGATTCCCGTATGATCACCGAAGTTAAGCAACGTCGAAATTGGTCTGTACCTAAATAGGTGACCACTTGGGAATACCAGGTTCTGTAAGCTTGGATGGATGTGTGGTGTAATGGATAATGGTTCAGAATTGTTAATCGGAGAGCAAAGTTCCAATTCCAGATGGTTTCCCAAGAGTACTTACAAAGTTCCAATTCCAGATGGTTTCCCAAGAGTACTTACACCTAAGTAAACATAAGTTTACTTAGGTGTAAGTACTCTTGGGAAAAGTATGAATCAACCTCTTCTCCTCCCATCTATGGGTTAATTAGTAGGACTTTGTATCACTAAATCATTATTATTTAAAAAAAATTCTTACAATCTAAAAAAAATCTGTCTATATTTCTGAGATGAGGTATTATGTACACCATTTACATTATTCGGACTATTGTCCTCATCTTTGTTGCCATATTTATCACAACGTTTCGGCCGTTGTACGCCCCGGCCTTCTTCAGGTGGTTGGATCCTTTATTTCGCTCGGTGGGGTCGTGTTGTTGATTCCGGGGATGGAATCCGGCACAAATAAATAACAACGCCAGTAATAGAAATAGGAAATATGTGTATTAACGTAAGAATACAAAGTGAAATGAAGATTAGTAGTCCAGGAATGCGGGTTAGTAGAAAAGTATATTTACAAGTCTCTGTAATGGAAGCCGTAATTATCTCTCTTTCCGGATTCACGTAACTCTGTGTGAACATCCTGTGTCGACCTCTTTTGTCACGCTATCTCTCCGTAGTATAAGTATACTTGGACGAGTCCATTTTGTGTACAAGGGGCGAGCCCCACAATAGGTAGACTGTTTTAGTTCCACGTGCCATGTCTAATGGATGTCAGTTATCAGTTATGTCCTGTTAATTCACCCCTCCAAGTTGCCTTAACCCGGTATTGAACTCACAACTCTTTGGGTCCTGTCATTGTGAGTTCAATACCTGGTTAAGGCAGTGGAGAAAATTGGAGAATAATGTAAATAGTGTATCTAAAAAAAAAAAGTTTTCTGGTTTTAAATAACCTGAAAAGGGTTGATAACCCATAGAAAACGAATGAATCAACCAATCGCCTGTTTAACCCCCATCCTGACCTTGCATCGATTATTATTTTTTCGATTCTTGCAAAAACTTTAATGCAGAAATCTTTCTCCAATGCAAACCTGATTCAAGAGTTTCTCGAAAACGTCTTTTATCAAAACCTGCAGAATTTTAGTCAAAATTTGTCGAAGTGTCAAAATGTCATTGCAAATAATGGTAAATGTATAATTGTTTTAAAGGAAAAAGTTTGTAAAACACAAACGGAAATTATTTATGACTCAGCATAATAAAAGTTGTACTTTAGTAGACAGTCCATAGTGTAAAAGAAATTAATTTTGATTATTATTTAAATTGAGTGTTTTGAGTTTACAAACAAAACTGAAATAAGAGGTTTAATGTAATTTATTACATTAAACTCCTTATTTCAGTTTTGTCTGCTTAATAAAAATACCATCTTACAGTCACCACATTTTTAAAGCAATTTACCCCAAGGAAGGCGGGGGTGCCATTAGCACGCAAAGGGTTACAGAGGATTGGGAACAAGAGTAAAGGGGCATGTTTGGGGAAAGAAAACAGAAAAGGGCGGGGAACAAGCTCAGGGTGTCAGATGTCGATTGACATTACACTTGAATATTTGAAGATTATAGTCATCGAGGAAGCAAGTCAGTGGAAGGGAGTTCCACGGACGGGAAGTGCAGGAGAAGTAGCTGTTTCAGTAGAAGAGACGGTTACATTTAACCGTTTTGACAGTGAAAGGGTGGGACCGATATACCAACCTGGTAGCTCGCTTAAATTCATGCAGTCCGAGAACAAGCGAAAGTAGCTCGTAGTGGATTCGAGTTAAATGAATTATTAACCACAAGAAATAGCCCCTTAAAAGGACCATTGGTGTAATAACAAAACATTATATCATATCGTATATTATGCTATTACACCCTTAACAGGACCAATGGTGCAATAACATGATATCACTTAAGTGTTCGGAAAGTAATTACGTATTTCAACGCTGTGAATTATGAGTCAAGCAACCAAAATGGAACCAAGTTTGAATGGTAGAAAACCGTGTTCAGAATTACTTTATCGTTTCTTCAATTCTGTTCTTGTGTCGTTTATAGTGTGTTTTAGAGTTTCATTTGGAAAAACCTGCAGAGAGGAAATTTGGGTTCCGCATATGTTTTCTCTTGAGAACCGAACACAATATTCCACCATCTGCATCGCTATTTTAATGAAGAATGTCAACTATTCCATATTGCATCACATCGGTACAGATGATGAAAAATGAGTTTTACAAGTCAAAAGAAATCGAAAAGACAGTTCTTTTTCACGAAATAAGAAATCAATGCTAACACCAGAACCAAGATTCCATCCGCAGAAGTCCTTTCTTTGTGTCTGGCGGGATATGACATGTATCGTGCATTACGAGTTATTAAAACATGGATCGATCATCACTACAGCAACTTAATCGGGCAAAACAAAGCATCTTTACGTCAAAGGTGTCCCACTTTCTTAAACAGAAGAAGTGTTATTATCCAGCATGTCAATTCAAAGGTACATCGACAAAACAAATCAAAGAAAAAAATAAGATCATGTGATGGGAGGTTCTTCCACATTTTTCATACTCACCAGATTTAGCACCGACAAATTGTAATTTGTTTCCATTACTAGAACATTTCATCAATCAATAACAATCACTCAATGGCATACGAACTTACCACCGTCAAAAGAGGCGGAAAAGAGGTCAATGAATTTAGCAAATTACTTTTCAAACATTTTCAAGGGAAAAACTCCAGTTTTGTTTTCACTTTCGGCTGCAGTCGTTGGAAATAAAGGTGATTCCATTTTCATAAACAATATATAAATAATTTTAACCTCTTTTAAACTTATATAATCCAATTGGAGTAGATAGGTTCACCTATCTCCCAATTCACACTCTTCTCTGTTTTCTTTTTTTACAGAAGTAGAAATTTACCCCTTATTCTCTGTTTAGGATGGGGTTTCGGTTCTTTCTAAAGTCTTTTCCTTCTCTTTCACTTACAGTAGCCGCTTGAGTCTTAGTGGCATTATCGCCTTGTTTGGGGTAAATTGATTACAAAAAATAAAATTTCTGGTAAAACCTAATTACTTTCCGATCATCTCAATGTCTTCTTTTTTGATGCGTATACATTTGAAACGAACGATCGTTTATAGAGACTAAAATTCGTTATCCGTATATATTATTAGTAGGATCCAGTGTGCGTATATATATATATATATATATATATATATATATATATATATATATATATGTGTGTGTGTGTGTGTGTGTGTGTGTGTGAGAGAGAGAGAGAGAGAGAGAAAAGAGAGAGAAGAGGGAAATAAAAAGTGAGAAAGAGATAGATTAATTCAAGCTGGGCCAATGTTAACTATCTTCAGCCGAACAGAGCGTAGACTTGTGACTAGACTGAAAGTAAATCTCTGTTCGAATCAATAATTTTCGCACAGTTCAAGACATCTGTAACCAGAGAGCTTCCTTGCTTTCTACTAATACAGAAGGCGCAATGATTTTCTGGTTGACTAGAATATGTCGTTTCAGATGTGCTGTTAAGAAAGTTCGAGAAAGCGTGAGAAATGGAGTAAAGATGGTGAAGCAACAAGTTTCGGCTCGACGAAAAGATTGGACCAAAACTTGGTGGGATGGACGAAGACTCAAAATACGTGCTCTTCCCAAAATTAATTATATACAAAGTTAGTGAACCTTTAAAATCAGCCTCCTGTAAATATATTAAAGAAAAAGAAAAGGGAAATATAACTTTCTATCTTTCTTTTATACACCACCTCTCCCTTTTTTCCGTTCTTCCTTTTCATTTATCTTTCTATCTATGAGTAATTCTTTCTTCCTTTTATTATTTATTCATTCCTTCCTTTGTTTGTTGTCTTCTATATTTGAGTGATTCTTTCTTACATTTTTCTTTCGTTCTTTTCTTCTTTCTTTCTTTCTTTCTTTCTTTCTTTCTTTCTCAAATGCACTTAGCCTCCACACAACTTTCTTTCTTTCTTTGAGTAATTCTTTTTGCTTTCTTTTCTGTTTTATTTTATTTTTTCTTTAAGTGATTTTATGCTTTTTCACTTCTTTTCTTTATTTCTTTTGCCTGATTTCTTGTGTCTGTCTTTGAATTATTCGTTTTATATTTATTTAGGTATTTATTTATTCCATCCATTCTTCTTTTCTTTATATTCTCCCTTCGTTGAATGATTCTTTCTTTCTTTCTTTCTTTCTTTCTTTCTTTCTTTCTTTTCTTATTTCATGATTTCTGTATTTCTTCTTGCTCGTCTTTCTTCTCGTTATAAATCTTTAATTTCGATTTTTTATCCGCCACTTCCTTTCTTTCAATTATTTTCCCCTTTTTTTCTATTCATATAATTTTTCTTCGTCTTTTTAAAAATTTTCAATTTTTCTCAGAATTATTTGTTACACTTTTTTTTTCTAATTTCAGTAATTATTTTAATTTAATTTCAATGTTCGCTGATATAAAAACAAAATGCTCATTCACTGTTCATAAGTGCAATGCTCTTCATTGAAAGCAAACAATGTTAATAAAACATAAATTTAACTTAATTGGAGATTATATAAAATACTTTTGGCTATTTTTTGAGGAGGTCAGTAAGAAAAGCCTTAAAAAATTACCAAAAATTTACAAAGCCGAGACTCGAAGTCGGTCACAAAAAGAAGAAAAAAGAAGTAAAATTTCAAAGATTAAAGAATAGAGTTCAGTTAATTTAAAAATCTGTTTCGGGTTGATACGTGTAACAGGTGGATCTCCTAGTTTTCAGTTAAATATACTGACTAACCGATCACTTTACAACATTTATAAAGAACAACAATGTCCGATGTCAAAGACTGGAAAAATGTCTCCGCCGACTTAAAAAAAAACAAAACTTTTTTTTACTAATGCCTATACAAGGCCCGTGAGTCATTCAAAGTAGAGGGTTACTGAATGATATTGTATGAGCGTAAGAAGGTTAGAAGTTCAGTTTATGGGGTTCTGT